AAGCAACAACAACAGAAGTGTGGGTCTTACTACAAAGTAAAGATTGTAAGGAGGAAAAATATAAAGTTCTTATGTGATACTGTTATTAGTAGTATTACGTACAAATCACACAAGTTTATCATTCTAAATACTGAATCATATTATTATTATTATGAACTAAATATAAAATTACGCTAAATTATTGAACTTAAAACTACTAATTTAAATGCAAAAGAATATAAAAATCACAAACTCATTCTGTTCAAAGTGCTAAGCCTAATTCAAGTAAAGACCTTGCATTTGCTGCTCGATAGCTCTTAACCCTAACAATCGTGGATCAACTTCTTTCCTAAAAAATTATTTATTTTGAGTTAATTTTTCAATATAATGATTAATATAAATAGATATATGATACAGCATGACTTACGCTACTATAGAAAAATAATAAAAGTCACATACATTCCATGCAGTTTTTTCCAGAAGCAAATTTTCTAACGCTTATAGAAAAGCACTATTGGCCAGTACTAAATACAACTTCTACATAAAATGGCAGTTACTATAATAAGCACCACCCACATTCATATTGTAAAATCCAGAGAACAACATTTCGTCTCGTGCTTTGCTTATCATCCTATGATTTGTCAAACGTGAAATACAGCGATTGGAATAACATGGTACTGAAATTGACACCTTCGATTAGGATTGGCTAAAGTTTTACAACTGAGGTCTAGTATGCTCAGATGCTGTTTTATAAAGAAAACAGACTAGAAAAAAGTTTAGATACCAATCATAGATGGCAGGACCAGCATTGAACTGCAAGGAAAAACTTTGCAAAAAGTTTTTTTCTTAGAGGATGCTTATTTATAATCTCAAGCATATTTTTGGATTTTTTTTATTAAATTTCTCTGTAAACTTCATTAAATAATACAATTTTGTACAAATAATTGAATATTATACTACTATTTACAAAAATAAATTCTGAAATCCAATAAAAAATAAGTTCTCTATAATATTTTCAATTCACTAATGTGATTTTGCTCTCACGATAAGACAAAATTGCCACGGCAGGTAACAGGTTAATCGAGTCATGGGACATTCCTCTACTTTGTTGGCAGATTGGGGATGAGGTTCCATTATTACATAGATGATCAACTTTTCATAGCCCCTTTTTCAGAGGACTCCTTCTCTCATACCTGCATTCTTCAGGTTAATCGAGTCATGGGACATTCCTCTACTTTGTTGGCAGATTGGTGATGAGGTTCCATTATTACATAGATGATCAACTTTTCATAGCCCCTTTTTCAGAGGACTCCTTCTCTCATACCTGCATTCTTCTGCAGAAAGCTGCTTGAATGGGCTAGCTTGTTAAACCTTCCAAGTATTTTTTTTTCACACTGGCCCTGCATTTGGTCATCTGGTCATGTTCTTCAACTCCAAATTCATACTCAGCCTTCAGCACCTCACTTATGAGCAATGAAATGTCTTGTCACCAAGGTTCATGCTTCTCCTTTACACTCTGCACATGAGATTCTTTTAGTTTTGGGAACTCTGGTTTTCCTTGAACCATTCATTTATTTAGGATGAACACACATATACCTCTTCTTGTGGAAATTGTGGGACTAATGGAACCTTTCTTGAGATCTGTTGTCTTTGATTGTATGCATCCCTTCTCTTCTAGAGGAATTGTCTTGGCTTGAAAGTGCCAACACCATGTAGACTTTTTATCGACTCATATAAAGTTAGTCTGAAAGCTGTACTTTTGCACAATGGGAACATTAAGCCATTGATTCCTGTTGCTCATGCTGTGAAAATTAAAGAAACTTGTCAAAGCATACAGATCATACTTGAGGCCATAAAATATGATCACCATAGGTTAATCTAAAAGTTATTACACTCCTTCTAGACTTACAGTGTGGGTATACATAAAAAGAAGGAATAGACAATGAGAGAGAATTGCATACCAAGGAAATAGAATATTGAGTGTCAACCTCTAGTGAATCCTCAAAATGTGTTTCTGCCCTCACTTAATATTCAACTGGTACTCCTGAATAATTTTGTAAAAGTATGAACAAAGATAGTAATGGTTTCCAAAAATCAGTGAAGAAAAATGAAAGGAGATATCTTTGTTGGGCTACGGATTCAGGAAGTGCTGATGAATGATTATTTTGAAACAGTACTCAATCAGAAAGAACTTGCTGCCTGGAAATTATTCAAACTGGCTGTCCTAAATTTCTTAGTAAATCACAGAGATGACACTATGCTGTGATGATTAATGATGTGCTTGAGAACTACAAGAAAATGGAGTCTAGAATGTCACTAAAGATACACTTCTTACACTCCCATTTAGATTTCTTTCCAGTGATCTAGGTGCATAAGTGAGGAGCATCCACCAAGATATTTCTACAATGGAAAATTATATTAAGGATGATGGAATCCTGCAGTAAACGGAGATTACTGTTGGTTCTTGCAGCATGAAACTAAGAACATGCATAAAAGGAGCTACAAATCAAGCAAATATTACGTAAAAAAAAAAAATACCATGATGGACGTTTTGAACATAGCCTGAATGTATTTTCAGTATATAACCTTACTATACTCATTGCTTTTTAAAACTTCTGTGGCTATTATGTATTGTTTTTGGACAATCTTAAATGAAATTTTCAATAAATAAAATTACTAAAGAAAAAGCTATTTTCATGAGATATAAGAAAATTTTCAATAAATCTATCATAACTGAAAACTAGAGGTAATCTGTAACTTGCGGCATGATTTTCAGAATCAGCATTATAAAATTACTTGGAAACAGTTGCATATTTTCTAGTAACAGAGAAAAATCTTTTGTTGCCCAATGTAATCTACAAAATTTCATGAAGATTTGCATACATTATCAAAAGTTATAGTATGACTACTCTCATGGTTACTTTGATGGTTAATAAGTTTCTAAGTAGATAGAACCAAAATTTTGTTAATAAAACTTTTGATCTAGCAATTAATATAAAAATATATCTTCCTTAAAATATCTACTTTTCTGCAATATACATTATAAAAATTTAAGAATAACAGTTTCTCTGATTGTAGTTTTTATATGATTTTTTTTCTTACAGGACAGATCTAGCAAAACCAGAACTTGTAATACCCTTGATACAAAAAAATAAATGGAAATTGTCATCTAAAAAATTGGAAAAAGATAAAGATCAGAATAAAGTCCTTGGTGAAGATTCATCACTTGAAGAATTAGCTGTTAAAGAAATCATTGAAGGTGAGTGTGAAAGTCGTACATGGTTATGTGACTTGTTGCAGATACAGGAATAGTGGATTGCAAATTTAGTTTGAACTTTAAGTTGTTTTTTTTAATATGTCTAGCATTCATTCAGTTATACAGTCCAGTACTGAGGACAAATTATACATGTCTGGTTAGACAAGGGAAAAAAAAGATTTATGATTTTCAAATGCAAAAGTAAATGCTGATTACACAGTTGAAGAAAAATATTCAGTTACAATTAAAGCATCTAGTTGTTTTCTTAAAGTAATTGTTAGTGCAGCTTTTAAAAAATACTTAAATACACAATTGAGTAAAAGAAGCGCATGTGTTGTATACCAAGTTAACTATGTGTGTCTGGACAGATGCAGTTTCATTTACCTTGTAACCACTATATAACAATGAAACTATATATTATATATACTATAACTCTGAGGGTGCCAAGTGTATCTTAATTCTATTGCTATGGGCTCAGTTGATTTGACTGATTTGTGACTCCAAACTTATCTTTAGTTTCTATACTATAACTTTCAATACATTTTATTATCTTTGCAGTAAACATTACAAGTCTTTTGTAGACAGAAAATCTGAATTTTTAATGAATTATTTTTACTAAAAATTTCACCATGAATATATATGGAGTTAAAGTGTTGACTGCTCTGAGTGCAAAGTGGTTTTCATGTTAAGTTTAAAAATATTTTTCTTCATCAGAAAATTGTCAAATTTCATTTGCATAATCTCGTGAATAATTTTTATTTTATTTTTCTTTATCTTACTCAATAAGTTTCTAATTTGTATGTTTTAGTTACTTTTATGATAATAAATAAAGAATACACTTGAAAAACAAGAAATATAGTACTTACCTGTGTTGGTGATTTTTCCTACTTTTTTATACTAGTGATACTACTATACTAAATATTTGTTATTTAATTAAATACTACACATATGAACACAGAATGATAACATAAAAATGTTGACAATGTCCTATAACTATCACATTTTTCTGGCTTTCTGATTATAAGATAAGAGCTGTTAAAAATTCAGCTAAGTTTGTCAGTGTGTTTCCCATGGGAATAAAGTTTGAACTTGAAGTGAAATAGACAATTCTTTGTACAGAAAAAAACATAATATAATAAATCAATCAAAAGATTAAAACTTTGGCTTTCTATTTCTTATAAATAATATAGTATTAAACATCGGAGAGAACTATTGATAATTTGTGAAAGAATAAATATGAAAAACAAGAAATATAGTACTTACCCAAACTTCTCTTGCCCTCGACTGTCGAGGACAGTTAAGCCTGATTTTTTATGGTAATGCACTTAATAATTTTATTTAATTAAATAATGCATCAAAGAATATAGACTAATAACATGCAAAAAGTAGACAGATTTCCTTACCTTAAAACTTTTCCTCTTTCTAACTATGCGACAAGAGCCATTACAAATTCATTCAAGCTAGTCATTAACTTTCCCATGGGAACGAATCGTGTACTCTGAGTGAAATTGACGATATTCTGTTCAGAACACAACGTTATACAATACATCATTTTATAGATAAAAACCTTGACTTTCTATTGGTTATATGTAATATATAATGAAATGTAAGAGAGAAATATCAATGAATTGTAAAAGAGAGGATGTGACAGGTAGGTGTGGCAGGAGGGGCTTGATTTTCTATTAGATAGCTCTGTAACCAAACAAAATTGAAGGCTATAAAAATTATGGTTTGTCTGAGCAATAACGATATCATAGAGAGTAATTTACTTTTCATTTCATACTTTTTCAAGGGGTGATGGATAGAATAGGGATGATGACATGCTAAGAGAAAATGTCATGTGTGTCATGCTAGGGGAAATTCAGGATTTTTTTAAATATTGCCTTGTAGAATTATGAACTTAAAACTTCTATACTATTAAAATATGGATTATTAGCTAAGATTTTATGCTATTTTAATTGGTATAACATAAATAAAAAAGTGGTTTAGTAAAATTTTGAATGTGAGACACTAAAACCTTGTGTCATGCACAGTAAAGGGTACCCAGGGTGATAGAGTTAATTAGACATTCAGCATTTTGCTTTACAGCTTCTTCAGGAGTGTTTGACTAAAAAACAAACTGAAACTCACTGTACAAAGTTTTAGAACAACAATTTGGTATTATAAGGTTGTTTATTTCTAGTATTAAAATGTCTTCTCTACACCAATATGCAGTACAGATAATAAATAATAATAATAAAATTTCTTCACAAGCAGTTGATTGTTTACTTCATTCAATATGGTAACATGAGGTATACATTCATTGAGTTATTTACAACTTGTGTGGAGGGATTATTAGTTATACTTGGTTCAAAAGCAATAAAATAATAAATTATAAACAGATGTAAGCTGTTGCAAGTTTTAAGCTATTTAGGATAAACAATTTTTGTTTTCTGTTACAATCTGCAACATCTTGGAAAGAAAAAAAGTGTCATTTAGATATATTTTGTATTTTTCTATGGTGGTTACAATTGGTCAAATTGGCCGAGGATAGAAAAAATAATAGATAAAATATTGTTTTACTGACAGAAACATTTGATATTTATTTAGGAGGTTTAGAGGTTACATAAATGAAATTTGAACATTTTCAACTAAAGAGTTATTTTTTAATCTGAAAATGAATATCACTTGAAGCAGTCAACACTCTGATTCCATATATTCACAGACAAAATTTTAGTACAAATATTTAATTAAAAAATCTGACTTCTCATGTACAAAAGACTTCCAATTTTACTTTAAGCTTGCCAAATTTTGTGAAGATACACAAAACATGATAAAAGTTATAGTATGGAAACTCTGACTGTTACTTTGTGGTTACAAGATTGGTCACATCATTCAACCCCATATGGAAGAAGTTAATCAGCTCTATGTTGATAATAATTGATTAATTGAATTATTCACCGAGCTTTTTAGGAGTACCAGTAGTAGGATTAATTGCAGTATTTGTGGTATTTAGTTAAAATATTTTGTGTGACTCGTTTTATTAGGTGCAGAAATAGTTCAGTCAAATTAGCTTACAAAGTCAGTGGTTATTCCAGGTTGACTGTGTGTAAATCTTTAGGTGCAGATGCGAAATAATTTACCAGATTTCACTCTTGCTGTTGTGACCTCTGTTCTTTTCTTTAATCCAGTGACTTTGTGGTTCCTAAACTTCTGCTTTTTTTGAATGTTGTGACTTTTACAGTGTTACATTATAATTTAATTATACTACTTTATTATCTATGTATGTCAATAAGCTTGACATGAAAACATAGTTTATAATTCAAAATTATTATTTAACTTTTAAACTCACAGTTACAATTTACAAGCTGCATAATTACAAGGTAGAACCTAAAATTTTGAGACTCGTACCTTCTTAATGTGCTGAGATATCAATATATTTGTCATACCCACCAGAGGATCTCCTCTTCTCTCTTTCTGGTTTTTAAGACAATGTACATGGCTGATGGACAAGTTTATAACCAATAAAAGGAGCAGAATCTCCTGTACACAAATGTTAGGAGTTGTCATTAACCATTATTTAGGAATTGCTGTATTGATGGTGATTAAATTTTGTTTCCCTAATAACTTAGAGAGAAAGCTGGATAAATATATATTAGTTTGGGAACATTCTGTTCTAGTGATGGCTATTTTTTAAATGCATATTTGAAAGCTACATTAATTTTTCTTTTTTTTTTGGACACCCACTTGATTTTATGGTCCTTGAACTTCTGGAAAACAGGAGGTGTTGTTGCCTGAATTCATCTTTTTTGTTTTTTTTCATAGGGGTTTTAAGTTGCTTATTTCTGGTCTGGTTGAATAGCAGTAAAAGTTCTGTGAAGGCAGCTAGAAACATTGATTGTTACTAACTGAGTAAGAATTCATTTTATGAGACCGGGAACAACTATGAGAAACAGCCATTATGCAATAAAATGAGTGACTGATTTGAGGGTTGCTTAGTACATACGTACTTTTACGTATTACAGTTTATTCCGGATGAGCTTCCAATTTATTACTTAACGTATTATAATTTTGAATATCCTGAAACTGAGTTAAATGATAATTTAGATTTAGAAATTAAATAAATATCGATATGTATCCAGTTAATGATACTTGCCAACAAGATTAATACACAGTTTTTTAATACAAATATATTCTAACATACAAACAATAATACAATTTACAATAATGGTTATTACAAATAATGATCTATGTACAAAAGTTTTACAAACAATATTTAGTCCTCTATCTGGCTGGAACTTCCTTGATATCTATTTTATTGAGGGTTCACGATGAGTGAATTAATTTTGAGTAGATGTTGATACAATTCACTTAACAGGGAGATAGCTATCTCTGTTCTTCTTTTATACCAGCCACACATGCCACACAATAGTAATGTCGGAGGTGAATCTGCTGAAGTTAAGTGGTTTGTAATATTCGAAATCTATAAATGTTTCTAGTCAAATATCTGAAGTTCACGATTAATAAGCATCATAACAATCACAGTTATACCTTCTGAAGTTTATAGCAAACCAATAATATGTACTGTCTTTTAGCGTGGCTCATTGATTATATTTATAGACATGAGGAGAGTTTCTCGAAATTTCAGCTTACGTAACAATATAAATGATACACCAGTGTTTACGTACATACATATATTGTTGATTCTTACACTCAATAATTTTCTACAATTTTAATGAATAGGTGGGAATTTTGGGATTCAGATTTAACAGTATAAGTTATGTACATTTGTGAGTTTTGCCAAAAATTGCAAGGAAAAAATTTATTTACCAAAGGATCAATAAACGTACAGTTTTCTTCCCTTGTAGCACACATCAAGAGCAATGATCACATCCTATGTACAAGTTTAATGAAACAGCAAGCTGAAATGAAAAAGCACAGAGATAAAGCAAATGAATCATCAGACACTAAACTGATTACTAAGCTTAAAGTTGCTTATCACATGGCACAGAATGAAATATCAA